GGGGGGGCAGATTTCCTGCACACCATCCTTTTAAAGAGGAGCCCTGCACAGGTGCACATCCAAAAATGCTCCCTCCAGGGCTTCAGAGCCTCCATTCTTGCAATCCTGTTAGCACAGGTTTGCTCCGAAGCTGCGCCAGAGTATTGTACAAGGAGACCTCTGCAGTTACGGCGGTTTTGTTTTCTGGAGGCAGCAGCCGGAGCAGCACCCACGAGAGAGCTGGAACATAAGCTGGGACTCAGTTTCCTATCTTTAACATTCCAATGGGCATTAGTCACCGCTTCACAATGCAACCTGTCCCTTGTATGGCCCAAATAGTTGAGGTTTGTGGCACAACTTTGCAATGCGTTATTCGCATGCTGATGAAAATGGCAAATTCTGTAGATGCTGCTGCACTTTGTCCTGATGGTTGGCAAACTCCACAATTTTATGCATACCTGACAGCAAGGAATAATGCTCCATGAATCTGGCTTTTATTCTACTATATAGTGGGATTAAATAGTTTTTTCTATCTGTTTAGTGATGGAGGTCGCATCTGGTGAATACGGAGATCAGAATAGCAGGCTTGTAAGAGCTGTGCAAGAGGGAATGTGTGATTCAGATTACAAGAGAAACTCTGCAGGAGAAAATGAACTTAACCCTTTTTTATGGCACAAACCATCAGACGAGGTAATTCAAAGTAAAGGAAATCAAGTCAGCCACTTTGAGAACTCTTTGAGTTCTTTCGTTTTAAGTGCTTCCTTCAGCTGGGTGTTGTGTGACATATAAGCTTAATAAATGCATTATTATTTTGATTAATCACATAGCAACACAGATGTTTATACTGGGTTTGGTATTTTTATCCATTTATTGAGCATTATTGTTGAATTATTTTTAAACTGTAATAGAAAATGAACCTGGCTCAGCAGATAGTTACACAATAAAAACCCCATCATGCAGGGGTGCTTCTCAGGTAATTTTGTCCAAAAAGTTTTATATGCCAACATGAGCACTTTGAACTGGGCTCAGAAAACAATCAGCAACTAGTGTTACTTTTTCTTTGTAGAAGTAAATTCCCCACATTATAATGCCAAATTCTGGCCCATCTGCAATTTAAGACTATCTTCAAGATTGACCTCACAATGAATGTTTTGTAATAGTCCAATTTTGCAACTACTAGGATATGTGTTACTAATTTGAAATCTTTCTTCTTGTAACTAATTTGAAGTGCATTTGATTTAACAATCAATATAGTAAAAAGAATCCCAGGCCATAGATATCATGTGACTGTTCAGCATGAAAGGAGCATCCATAGACTGCCACCCTGTTATTCAACTGGGAATTCCAGTCCATCCAGAATAGGTTCATGTCTGAAATTCAGCCTGTAATAGTAATACTGAGTTTAATTTCATTTTTTTTCTGTCCATTCAAGTTTGGTAAAACATGAAGTGACAGGTAAAGATTATAGTTGATGTAAATGTCTGAGTTATTTTTAAGTGTAAAATTCTAATATGCTGAATCTTTATATCATGTAAAGTACACTGCTCATAAAAATAAAGGGAACACTTAAACAACACAATGTAATTCCAAGTCAATCACACTTCTGTGAAATCAAACTGTCCATGTAGGTAGCAACACTGATTTACGATCAATTTCACATGCTGTTGTGCAAATGGAATAGACAACAGGTGGAAAGCATAGGCAGTTAGCAAGACATCCCCAATAAAGGAGTGGTTCTGCAGGTGGTGACCACAGACCACTTCTCAGTTCCTATGCTTTCTGGCTGATGGTTTGGTCACTTTTGAATGCTGGTAGTGCTTTCACTCTAGTGGTAGCATGAGACAGAGTCTACAACCCACACAAGTGGCTCAGGTAGTGCAGCTCATCCAGGATGGCACATCAATGCGAGCTGTGGCAAGAAGTTTTGCTGTGTCTGTCAGCGTAGTGTCCAGAGCATGGAGGCGCTACCAGGAGACAGGCCAGTACATCAGGAGATATGGAGGAGGCTGTAGTAGGGCAACAACCCAGCATCAGGACCACTACCTCCGCCTTTGTGCAAGGAGGGACAGGAGGAGCACTGCCAGAGCCCTGCAAAATGACCTCCAGCGGGCCACAAATATGCATGTAGCTGCTCAAACGGTCAGAAACAGACTCCATGAGGGTGGTATGAGGGCCCAATGTCCACAGGTGGGGGTTGTGCTTACAGCCCAACACCATGCAGGATGTTTGGCATTTGCCAGAGAACACCAAGATTGGCAAATTTGCCACTGGCGCCCTGTGCTCTTCACAGATGAAAGCAGGTTCACACTGATCACATGTGACAGACGTGACAGGGTCTGGAGACGCCGTGGAGAACGTTCTGCTGCCTGCAACATCCTCCAGCATGACTGGTTTGTCAGTGGGTCAGTAATGGTGTGGGGTAGAATTTCTTTAGGGGGCTGCACAGCCCTCCATGTGCACGCCAGAGGTAGCCTGACCGAGATGAGATCCTCAGACCCCTTGTGAAACCATATGCTGGTGCGGTTGGCCCTGGGTTCCTCCTAATGCAAGACAATGCTAGACCTCATGTGGCTGGAGTGTGTCAGCAGTTCCTGCAAGATGAAGGCATTAATGCTATGGACAGGCCCACCTGTTCCCCAGACCTGAATCCAATTGAGCACATCTGGGATATCATGTCTCGCTCCATCCACCAACACCACATTGCACCACAGACTGTCCAGGAGTTGGGGGATGCTTTAGTCCAGGTGTGGAAGGAGATCCCTCAGGAGATCATCCGCCACCTCATCAGGAGCATGCCCAGGCGTTGTAGGGAGGTCATACAGGCACGTGGAGGCCACACACACTACTGAGCCTCATTTTGATTTACTTTAAGGACATTACATCAAAGTTGGATCAGCCTGTAGTGTTTTTTTCCACTTTAATTTTGAGTGTAACTCCAAATCCAGACCTCCATGGGTTGCTAAATTTGATTTCCATTGATAATTTTTGTGTGATTTTGTTATCAGCACATTCAACTATGTAATGAACGAAGTATTTAATAAGAATGTTTCATTCATTCAGATCTAGGATGTCTTATTTTTGTGTTCCCTTTATTTTTTTGAGCAGTGTATTTTATTCAAAGTATTTGCATGTTTCTCTGAAACATCTTTCTCACCTGGAACAGAAGAGAAATCAAGTCTGAGGAAGACTAAGAAAGAATTTCTCATGCATGGATTAATATATCACTCATTGTTAGCGGTGAAGTCTATGTTTAGTGTTCCTCATTAGTGTTGTTGAGAAGGAGCTATATCTCAAAAAAGAACTCTTTTAAATTCAAATAAAATGGTTGAGTTCTGTTTAGAAAGTTAAAGATTAGTTGGCCAGATCTTAAATCTGATTCAACAAATTTTTCTCTCTTAAAACTGTAAATTTGAGTCAGATATGTCAGACATTCTTTCAATTTAGGTTCCACTAAAATCAGGTCTGATATTAAGCAATGCATTCCAATGGCCAGTGCTTCACCGAGCTAAATTATTTGTCTGTGCACTGAATCCAGGTCAAACATCACTGCTGCAGCCCAGAAGTGGGGGAGTTTCTCTTAGATTCTGCATGTTGGAAATAGTTTACATTGGTTTTCTGCCTTCTGCGACGTCAGCTGGTACAAATGTAGATCTAGCTTAGTCTGACCTGATTTTCTGCCAGCATTGTGGATGTTTCTCTGATCTGGCTGCACTTGGTTATTTTCCTGGCTTATTTTGGCATTTTGCTTATATATTTTAAAATCAGTGGATGACTAACTGTCCCGAAAGTAACCCAGCCAGCATGTTTTTTTTAATATTTTGCCCTTCAATAGAAACCAACTGCAACAAACCAAATTTTGATTTAATATAATGCTTACTTAAATGCTAGACAGCAAATTTGTAGAATCAAAGTTATGTTCATTTATATTGGTGTTGGAATCCAAGAAACAATACAAACCAAAAATTTCTTTCCCACTTGTGTTTTGCACCAGGATTCTTCATCCATGGAAGGCTGTCATAGCTTCTCAGCCAGCTGTCTTACTCAGTTTTGCATTCTGTTTAAAAGAACTTTTCTCAGCATAATGAGGGATTCGGTAAGGCTCAGATTTTAAGTATAAGAAAGAAAAGTGCATTGTAAGTTATCAGTTTTGATCTATGAAGCCATATTATTAATATTAAGTGCATAAAGTAAAAGAAAGATAGGTTTGATTCGTTTAGTGTTGCATAATTTAATCATGTTTCAAAAGTCAGGAGATGTAAAGGGAACTATGGATATAAAACTTTATATGGATGTATAACGTGCTTTAAATAATACTAAACACATTATTAGTATTTAAGCCTCTGGGGTTTCCGCCCCCCACCCCCCCCCCGCAATCTGCTTTGACCTACCACCTCTGTAGCTTCATCCATGCTCTTAGCAGAGGTCTTCAGTTTTGCTCCCTTCTAGCACATCCCTATCAACCTTAATGAATACAAAATACTGGAAATATATGGAATTAAAATTATAAAGTGAACTGTAGCAAAAAAAAAACCTTTGCCCAGCCCTGTAGTGGAGGGGTTGGCAGAACTCAAAAAAAAAATTAGAAAAAGAGAATAAGCAACAATACACTACACTCTATTTAATTATCCAAGGCTCTAATTATAACTCCCTTCTCTTTCCCACAAGCTTCAAAGCTAAGCCATAAATATCCAGAAAGACACCTGTAATAATATTCCACAGAGTGCTTTCCTCTATCTTATCAGAGGATGTCCTTGAGAAGAAGAGTCTGTTTTTTCAGTTCAAGTAAAATATTTCCGAGCCTCTAGGTGGCAGTGTTACAAAGTATCTTAGTTCTCACTTTCCCCCCTCCTCTCTGAAAAGCATAATAAACAAGGGAAAGCCGACGTGAAATACACAAAAGCGAAAGCGCAAAAATCAAACAAAATCTAGAGAAGCCTCTAGCCCAAAAATAAAAAGTCCAGAAGAAGAATAAAACATATGAATATATAAAAAAAAAACAGTCCAGTTATCCAATAAATAACAATGAAGTCCGGAAGCAAAGAAAAGAAAAAAAAAATGGATTCTCTCTTTGACGTTTCCCTAAGAAGAACGCCGCTTAGTCAGTTTTGTCAAAAAAAAAAAAAATTCACACAGGTTTCTTCAAATAGTCAGAGTAAACTTTCAAAGCTCAAAAAATTAAATAAAAAAAAGTTCTCACCCAACCGACAAACTCTTTCTCAAACTCTTTCCTTCTGGAGCCGCCCCGGCTTCAGCAGCATGGGGGCTGCCTCTCCGCCGCTGGCAAGAAGAGCTTCACCCGGGCTCTCCAGGGATTTTGCGGTATCCCCGGAGTCCTCAGGGTACGCTCTTCACGATGGCTGCCCCTACGGGACAGCGTAGGTCCGTTGGACCGGCCGGTAGCGGAGATATCGGCTGCAATCGAGGAGCTCGATTGCAGACCGTATCGCCACGGCGCAGGCTCCTCCCATCTCCCTCCCAAGTATATTTTTTGTTGTTGTTTTTTTTGTCTTCCCACCAGTCCCTCACTTTTGTCTTACATTTGATTGTTACTGCAAACTTATTCCTTTTTTTTTCACACTGGAAAATTTATGAAGATACTTTAATTTTTCACTAACTGGAACCATTAACTGGAAGCATTACATATAAGAAGCCTCTTAGGTTAGGCTAGTACAAAAATCACATTGTTTTTACAAAATGATTTGCATCCTCACTTCTATGCTATACAGAGACATTCAGTGTGTGTGCATATGTATAGATGTTAGCATGCTATAGGAGTTGCTAAGTCAAAAATATTATTAGCTCAAAGGTAATTTTTCTCCCTGACAGGTCCTGACACATCTGAGGGTAACCTCTCACATTGGAATTGGACTTCTGATTGGCTTGCTGTATCTGGGGATTGGAAATGAAGCAAAGAAAGTCCTAAGCAATTCTGGCTTCCTCTTTTTTTCAATGTTGTTCCTTATGTTTGCTGCTCTCATGCCAACAGTCCTTACATGTGAGTAACCAGTATGACACAGCTGACTAGGCTTCTTTAACCAGCTGCTTCTCAAATATCCTGAACTTCAATTCCCAAACATCCTAGACTTTGTTTTCATTGGCAGGGAATCACAAGAGAAGCTGTAACTGTTCATATGACAGCAGTGGTGGAAGGTTGCCAATAGGCTAATAGTTTGATAAGCCACCTATTAGATGGTTTTGTTCTGACCTAGGTTTCCCAAAATTATGAAGCAGATTCCTCATCCTGATAAAATCCCTTTTGTTTAGGTTACAGTGAATTCCTCTCCAGCAGAGTCTTGGCAAACAGTCTTTCATGAGATTTCACAACTACAGACCTTTATCAGGCTTGGAGAGTTGCCAGGCTGATTATAGCAGCAATTACTTGGCAAGAAATCAGGAACAGATCTTCACCCTAATGAATTGAACTAATTATCTCCTGCAAACACCACTCCCCTTTTGCTCCCGTTTATTACCTATGGGAGGGGCCATTCACCATCCACCTGAACCTTTACTCCCGAGTCGACCCTTGTTCCCTTCTCCTGGCAGGTCTGTGCATGCACACACTGGGGACAGGCTCCAGCTGTTCTTCTGCACACTGATCTCCAACTCCAAAGGCAGCTGATAACTGTCAGGCGGCCCTGGCCCCATCTCTGCCTCCGACACAGAGCACTTGTCAGAGCCTTCCCCAGACTCCAGGATTGGCCTATTCTCCTCCCCAACCTCCTCACTGTCCGAGTCTGGTGGGCCACAACAGGTTTCAGTAATACTAGCAAAACTCCATGTAGTTGTTTTATGCATACATGCATACACACGCACAAGGGCTGAGCAGCATTTTGGGACCATAGAAAAAAGGCTGTACAGAGCTTACGGTGGTGCATACATTATCATCACCATTATCATCACTGTCTGCCTTCTTATATATGACTTGGGTATAGGCAGATTAGACTGTAGAATGTAGAGAAGGGCTGTCAAACTCACGGCCCACGGGCTGGATGCGTCACGTGCTGGCCACGCCCCCACCCAGTTTAGCAAAGTGGGGGGAAGTCCTGATATGTTACATGATACTGCTGTGTCGACATGAGTTTAACACCCCTGGTGTAGAGTGTTAAAAACAACCTTTATAATCAGCAGCAAGTGATGTTTCCTAATCAAGATTCAGGAGAAATATCTTAAATCTACCACTTTGGCTAGCACTTTTTCACCAACAAACATGAGAACAATGAAAGGAAGTTTGTTTATCAGCTGAAACTCTTCCCACTCTCTGACCATTTATTTCCCTTTCCTCCAGTTAATCAGCTAGTCTGGTTTTAGCACCTTTCATCCTAATCCTTTTTGTTTACTATAAGGTAAGTGAATTCAGCAGCTGAAAGAGATCTAGTCTTCCAACCTAATCTTGTCCTTCATTGCTAAATCTGTGCAACTAAGAGGGAAAACGTCTTTTCACTTTAGGGTTTGATTATTTAAAGTCCCAACAGCTGCTCCAAAGTGGAGGATGGGAGACCTGCAGTTGTGCTTATCAAACAATCTGTTTAATCAACCAACAATGTACAATCATGTATAGAGCGTATCAAAGAAAATAATCTTCCAGTAGTCAAGTGGGTGCCGTTGTCCACCTGTATTCACTTTTACTTTTGCCAAAAACTACTACAGTATCTTTGTTTTATTATAATTTATCTTCCATTTTCTCCCTTTTACAACAAGGCTGGTCAGTAATCTGCTAAAGCCAGTTTCAATATGGAAAATAAGAGCCATGTCATCAGCATACATTAATAGTGACATTTTCCATCCATTAAATAAAAGGGAGAAAATACTTTGTGACTTCATGACCATTGTAATATCATTAATACAGAAGTTAAATAAGAAAGGAGCAAACAGCCCTGTTTAACTCCACTTTCCAGTAACATAGAGTCTAGCAAGAACCCTTGTGGGCCTGTTCTTATTCAAGCTGTAATCCAATCATTAGTTTAAGAAGATGCTTATTGATATCTGTTCTAGCTAGTTTCTCCCATAATCAGTACCTGTCAATGGAATAAAAGGCAGAGGGATCAGTAAAAGCAACATAGAGTTGTTTTGTATGCCCACTGGTATAGTTCTGAACAAGAACCTTCAAAGTGGTACAGTAATCTAGCCTGCTATGTCTTTTTTGAAACCCTGCCTCCCAAACATCTAATTTATTCAGAAGATGTTTGATATACAGCTTAGAAGAAATATCTAGCAGACTAACAATAATTGGCAAGTTCCTGCCAGTTGCCCTTCTTAAAGATTAGGTGTACTGTAATTTGTTTCCAATGGGGAGGTATAAAATCCAGTATGTTTTACCTATTTCTGAAAGAGTCTAGTCAGGATGGGTTCCCACCAGGAATCATTGATCTTACATATCTTTGGAGTAATCATATCCTCTTTAGGAGTTATTCCAAGAGCCAAGCTTGAAATCAGCTGCTTAACTTATATTTTGTGGTTATGCTTAATTCAATAAAGGTTTTTATTGGTTCAATATATGGCAGTTTAAAAAAGTGGAAAATAAAAAAAAATCTCCAACAACTGAATTTTCCTGCATAATATATTAGGGAAAGAATTTCCTGAAATATCTGAAACAATGCATTACACTTTTGAAAAAATAAATTGTGAAGATCTGCATTTTTCAGAATTATATATTCATATAAATAAAACAGTCATGGCTTTTCTATAAAATATATTAATGAATAAGCACATTCAAATCATACATTTTCAAATGAAGGAGAGGCTAAGTATGACAAGACAAATGTAAGATATTCAGGACAGCATCTAAGCATTAATTTCTGGAATTACTTTTGATTCTATGTATTTCAAGTGCTACTTTTATTTTTCTATATAGTTCCTCTTGAGATGGGAGTATTTCTTAGAGAACATCTGAATTATTGGTACAGTTTGAAGGCTTATTACTTGGCTAAAACTATGGCTGATGTCCCTTTTCAGGTAAATCTTTCTCTGCACCTTATCATTATTTTAGGACAGGAAGTTAGATAAAAGTAGTGATCAAATGAAATTTTCTTATGCAGTTTGCAAAATGCAATATGTCATTTTATCAGGAATATGAATTAATACTGCTACAAATCCTATTATAAAGGATATATATTATAGCATATAAATATATGCTATATGGTGTACAACCAGTTGTAAATGCTTTCTTTTTATTATACAATGGGAAATGGGATGCCCAAATCGCATTTTAGAATTATGCCAAGAAATGAAATTTAAGTCAGAGATGGATGGTTTAATGCAGGCTTGTCCAACCCGCGGCCCACGGGCCGCATGCGGCCCAGGTCGCCTCGTAATGCGGCCCAATGCCCACCCCAACCATCGTGCCACAGCCAGCAAGGAGGAAGAGGAGAGGCAGGCGCGAGGCGGGGCGAGGCGAGCGCCAGGCCAAGCAGCAAGAGAAAAGGCGGGTGCCGTCAGAGCGCCACCTCCTGTTACTGCTGCTGCTTCTGCCCCCGCCGCCGCTTCTGCCCTGCCGTCACCCCCGCCGCTTCTGCCCCGCCGCCACCCCTGCTGCTTCTGCCCCGCCGCCACCCCCTCCGCTTCTGCCCTGCCACTGCTGCTGCTTCTGCCCCCACCGCTGCTGCTGCCCCCGCCGCCACCGCTTCTTCTCCCGCCGCTTCTGCCCCCGCTGCCACCGCTTCTTCTCCCGCCACCGCTGCTGCTTCTGCCCCCGCCGCCGCTGCCCCCTCGGCGGGGGCATAAGCAGCGGCGGCGGCGGTGGCGGGGGCAGAAATGGCGGCAGCAGAAGCAGCAGTGGTGGTGGGGGAAGAAGCGGCGGCGGCGGGGGTGGTGGCGGGGGCAGAAACGGCGGTGGCAGAAGCAGCAGCGGTGGCAGGGGAAGAAGCGGTGGCGGGGGCAGAAGTAGCAGCGGCGGCGGGGGCAGAAGCGGCGGCGGCGGGGGTGGTGGCGGCGGCAGAAATGGCGGCAGAAGCAGCAGCGGTGGCGGGGGAAGAAGCGGCGGCGGGGGCAGAAGCAGCAGCGGCGGCGGGGGCAGAAGCCTTCCCCCGTCGCTGCTTCTGCCCTCGCTGCTGCTGCTTCTGCCTTCCAGTCCTGCCTCATCCAGCCGGGCTATTTGCAGGAGGAGAGGTAGGCGTGAGGCAGGCGAGCTTTCTCCCCCCCTCCTCCCCCCCCCGCAAAATTTGGCCGGAAAATAAACTGTGATAAAAAAAACTGTGATAAAACAACCGTGATAAAAATAAATAATTTTAAATAAATAATTAATAATAAATAATAAAAACATCTCACTAACTTTATTTTCAAATAAATTTAATATGTTAACTATGTTTTCTATGGTTTTTTGGGATGATCAGGTATCGTTACTGTTATTTTATTTCATGTGCGGCCCAAACCAAATTTTCATCTTCTAATGTGGCCCAGGGAAGGTGAAAGGTTGGACACCCCTGGTCTAATGAATTAGTTTCCAGTATTCCAGTGCCAAATTTGAGGGAAAAGATAAACCACCTATATTTGAGTTGCAATTAGGTTAAATCTGTAAGCTGCCCAGAGTTGCCTTATCAGGGAGACAAGTTGTATATAAATTGAAGAAATAAGTAATAAATAAAACTTTAGGCATGTGTTGAGCATTTAAAATATTATGTTTCATTCTATATGCCTGGGCAAAGAAAACACTCTTCAAATTAGCAAAGTAGCTGTATTTTTCCCAAGGCTGGTGTCTGCTTCTGAAGCTGCTCCAGTGGTCCCCATCTACATGTACGTGCCAACCATTTCATAAACTAGAGCACTCCTCCGGAAAAATCCTAATAGGACATAACTCATCTGATAAGAAGTAGGAAAAGTAGTATAGTATCTGGCTTCTCATGTACATTGATAGATACAGGAATTTAAAAATATAATTCAGCTCATAAAGACAAAGACCCATCTCTCTCTTTCACTTTATTTTCTTGATGTTGAATAGGGCTATAACTCATTCCTTTACTTTTGACTTAACAGAGCACCATATTCTGTTATTTGTCTACTACAGATTATGTTTCCTGTGGCTTACTGCAGCATTGTGTACTGGATGACAGCACAGCCCTCTGATGCTCTGCGATTTCTCCTGTTTGCAGCCCTGGGGACTATGACATCCCTTGTGGCTCAGTCCCTTGGACTTCTGATTGGAGCAGCATCCACCTCACTTCAGGTCTCTTCTGCTTTATGTGATCTTCTGTATCTTTCTTTGGTGAACCTGATGTTCTCCAGGGGGGGTTGGGATTTCCAATTCCATTCTTTGCACCCAGGATAGCCAAAGGTTGGGGGAATTATGTATTGGCAGCTGGAACTGAACTGTACTCATTATATTTTTGCAGTCCATACCACATGTCACTAAAACAGTTTTTTTAAAACACTAAAACAATATGATTCTCATAAAAGTTTTATTCAAAATTTGATTTGTTAATTTTAAAAAATTGTTTTGTTTTTTAAGGTGGCAACATTTGTTGGTCCTGTTACAGCAATCCCAGTTCTTCTCTTCTCAGGCTTCTTTGTCAGTTTTGATACCATTCCTGCTTATCTCCAGTGGATGTCCTACATCTCTTATGTCAGGTACATTCGAAGGATGTTTCCTTTTTTTTTTCAAGATAACTCTGCAAAAGCTGTATTTTTTTAGACTATTCTCTTGGAACTTTTCCCCAGAGCTAGCTGTTTTCATCTTTATTCTTGGTTATGTGCATTTGTATGTATAAACAGATACACGTGCTGTGCAAACATGCATTAATATGCTTCTAAAAAAGATGAATGTGCAGGAAAGCTGTTTATAATTTCACTTTATGGGGTCCAGATATGAGTAAGCCAGTTTGATCTGCTGGATATCTGAAATTGGACCTGAGCTGTACAGCCTGAGTTCAAAGCTTGGATCAGCACAAAGCCTCTGAACTGCTTTGGGTCAAGTTACTTGTTTTTAGCCTCTTAATCAAATGCAGCTCTGCTCACCATAGGGTAAAAAAAAAACCTGTTGAGACAAAAGCTTTATTTTCAATTGGAGAGGTTTTTTTAAAAAAAATTTTTGCATTAATTCAACTGTATGTTTTCAATATCTGTTTATAATCTTTATTTCATTTATTATTAACTCCCTTGAGTGCTCAACAGAACCAAAATATCAAATATTAATCAAATAATAATTCTGTTGTTGTATCTTTCTGGCATTTCTTTGCTAGGGATGGTGCTGATCTATGCTTGCTTTGAGTTTGACCTTGCAAATGATTCCTCTCCATAGGTATGGATTTGAAGGTGTCATTCTTTCCATCTATGGTTTGGATCGAGAAGATCTTCATTGTGACAAAGATGACACTTGCCATTTTCAGAAGTCAGAGGCTATCCTCAAAGAATTGGATGTAGAAAATGCTAAACTTTATTTGGACTTCATTGTGCTTGGAATTTTCTTCATCTCCTTACGTCTCATTGCCTATTTTGTTCTCAGATACAAAATTCGAGCAGAGAGATAGAGAACAAATGGGATAACATGCAGTTCTAGACAATTGCTCTTTGGTGTGGCTGATGAGTTTTCAAAGCTCGGTTGCAAATCATGTTGTCTTCTGACCCCTAGAAGAACTAAAATGGAAACTTATTTCAGTTTTGAAAAATGTCACTGCTGATCCCAAGAGTTTCCTCTCCTGGAAAATGTATTTCTTCTAAGGTAGCGTGTAGATCTGGCAACTAGACGGAGAATGTCTATCTTTTATTATAAGTGGAAAAACATGAAATGTTGTGTCATCACTTCTTGCTGCATCTTACAAGTGTTTTTCCATAAGAAATTCCACAGTTAGTGTACACGTTTTTCCAGTTGTATGAAAAGGTGCTCTTTAAACTGAATGTTTAAAAATAAAGAAGGTGAGAAATCTGATATTGGTTCTCCTTAATACCCTGCTTTGAAGCTTTAATCATATGAGCTGGTCTCATGTACCAAATTTTTAATATTGTATCATATTACAGTGAAAGATGTAGAAGAATTTGAAAATCAAGATGCATACCTAGCTGCTTTCTCCTAACATTCTGTTTTTGTAGTGTCTTTAAGTTTCTTGTGGAATTTCAAATACTCTTTGTCTGTTTTATCTATTTTTCTGTGAATGCAAAACCCGAAACAGAGCAAAATGGAAACCAATCTCAAAGCCTATTTGAATACTCTAGCATGTTTTTAATAACACATATTCTAAAAAGAGAAAGGACTGCCAGTAATTTGGTGTTTGGTATGATGAATGCTTAAGGACTTAGTTTAAAAGGTCTCAGTGAAATATGTGTGCCCTGCCCAGCAATATATATAATACTGTATACAGAACCTATTATTTTTATTTTCACCAATTATGACTTTCTCAAAAAGAAATTCAAATCATGCTATTTTCACATTCCAGCAAAGCTAGGTGATTCCAAATCCATTCATAAACAGTTTATTTTTCTTTCACTCACTTTTTGCTGGATTCCAACCAAATTTATCTAAACAGTTTTTATTACTAGTTTGACATCTAATTTGACAACTGGGATGTGTAAACTGAAGCCGATTACTAGAAGTGCCTACATCCTGATTTCAAATACTAGCTGTATATAGCACTTTGTCTCAGAAAATTATTTGATAAAATTAACATTATAGGAAAAAAGACTAGCACTCTGGGCCAGTCTTATCTACCTCAGTGCAATGGATTCAGGTTGATTTATTAGAGAAATCAATTAAGCTGTTTTCAATCCAAAAGAGATTTCAAGTTGTGTATTCAGAACCCAGATCAAATGGCTGTTTCTAGCAAAGGCTATTGTTGAATGGATACTAAACCACTCAAGCCAGATCTCCAGAGTTAAGCTAGAGCATCAAAGCAAAACAAATAGAAATTGAAACAAAAACAAGACAAATTTGAGGAAAGATTAGTTTTATCCATATTGCAAGATTTGCCCCTTCTGCAGTTCTTCTACACTAGTACATGTTCCTGAAATGCATAGTTTATGTTGCTGGAAAACAATTAAGTAATTGGGATTGTATTTATTGGCAAAGCCAAAGTCCTTCGCTCCCTATAATCCTAGTCTTCTAGTCTTAACTTCAGAGTAAATAAATAAAAACGAACACTGTTCTTTAAATTAGCATGCAAGTTAGTCCATATGTATCACAGGATTCAAATCTGCACCACTAATTAGGTACTTGTAGGTTTGTATCCAGAAACCATTAACAACTTACTTTGTAAATTAACAGCAGATATGTAACAACGATTAGCATAGACAACCTCCAAGAATGTAATTATGTACCTTCAACAAGAAAATATACACTTTGGAGGATAATCAGTAGATGGATTGTGATAGGCTACCACCAGATTTGGAAGAGTCACACAAGTGCTTTCCAAGAAACTCATCAGGTGTATCTGCTAATTGACAAGTAAGGCATTCACAGGAACTGATCATTCTTTCATGAAATACTGCAGGTTGGTATTGCAAATGTAGAGATACATCATTTATGGATTATATCTCTAAATATAACATTATTTTGTTGCAGGAAACATGGGCCACAGAGAATATGGGGCTTGATAATTTTGCAATACATTCTCTCAAGGCCATTAGATTAAGGAAAGCGGGGAGGCCAAATGATAGGTCTTTCAAATAAAACCCACCCTGTGGTGAGTAATCTAAAAAAAAACACGGTGTAATCAATTTGCAATGGTTATAAACCTTTGAGTTGGCCATCTCCATGTTCTCCCATCATGTTATAAAACGGGTGGAAGAAAGTTGGCTTATGTTGGGACTATATATGACATCCTACATAATTGTTTTTATTTCCAGTGTGATGTATCAATTTTGAATAACATGTAATCATTTCCATATCTGATACTATTATTGGATCGAGTCCCTAATAAATTCCTAATTCTTTTGAAAAAGAAAGAACACAATCAACATTAAGCCCCTTTAAATTCTGTTGATGTTAGTTTGTAGATTACTTAAACTTGGCCAGTTTAACTTGATCTGGTTGTTTCTAAGAGATTACTAGCAGATTTGTTAACCTGCCAGGATTGTCTAATATATCAAGTTTAAAAATACAGCTGTCCTTGATACTGCAGTTCCATTCTTAAACCAAAACTCTAATTGGCATGATATTTCCACAAGGAAGAAAATTCTATTACAAATTGTAAATCCACATGAATTATTTTCAGCAGTGGAAACTGGAAGAAGTTACTGTGAGAAATTAATAAACAAAAATGATTACACAGATAGCAAATGTAATATAAAAAATAAGTAATTTTTTTCTTGTTGACATCCCTGAAAATACCTTAAATATATTATGCGGTGAGAATCTACAACAGACAAGCATTATTAGGAAGTCACATACAGCTATTACAACTGAGGTTGTTCAAGACCTTGCTTTTCCATTAGAGTAGTGGATATGTCTGTTTCACACATTTTGGGAGTGCATTGCAGGAGGGAAGGATTCAACATTGCTCCGTACAGTATTACTGGCTTTCATATTTTAATCTGAAGACAAAAGACACTCATAGTATTACTACAGACAAGCAGGAATCTTGTCCCTTGCCCACCCAATAAAATTTATTAATTGCACATATATTTGCATATATCTGAGCTTAGAACCCAACTAAATATATGGGGAACATCCTGGATGAGTTCATACAACACACTAAAGTACAAATAAGCTAACCAAAAGTTAGGTCAATGCATCATGAAACTCCAGTCCGTGCAGCTAGTTTATGATTCACTGTGTTATACGAATCCAGAAAATTGGATCAATGGGGTAAATTATGATTCTAATAAACAAGCTTAAGCATGTCATGCAAAAATAGCCATTTAGTTTATTACATTTTTACGTGAACTTGCTGTTTTCAGAAATATCAGAACAATGATGTATAGAGATGAAACTTTTCAGTTAACACGCATGTTCTAAGTTTCACGCTATACATATCTGGCTTTTCTTTTAGGAAGTATATTCTTCTGGGGTCCATGCCTAAGTATGCTGAAATTTTGCAAAATCCCTACTCCAAAAACAGCCCAACAAAAATTCTTATTTGTAGTTTTAAAACAAATAATGGATGATGATGATGATGGTGGTGATTATTATTATTATTATTATTATTATTATTATTATTATTATTATTATT